TAAAAATGATTTAAAACTATTTAAAACATTTTAAAATATTTGTATCGAATCTCCCAGTAGTAGTTAGGATTTTAGTGGTGAATATTAACAAAGAAGATGAACGACAACAATAGTAACTACTTATGACAAATCGATTATATGTACACGACAACAATACTAACTACTTATGACAAATCAATTTTATGTTCGGTCTCTTTATGAAAAATAACTTGGGTAGGTATTTGTATTATTATGAATAGAAAAATTATTATTTATTTTAGCAAATGAGGTAAAGTTACTAAGAGTGTAGAGTGGGGTATGATATTATTGTGTAATTAATACGTTATATATCTGTCATTATATTTAGTTTTTGTGATCAAATAAACTATTATATAAAAAATTATAGTATTAGTTTATTTAAAATTTGCAGTCAAAGTGTTAATCTTTAAAAGAAAAAATTTATGTACCATTTTTTTTGTAAGCAAGTATATATATTTTTTTAACACTTTGACTGCAAATTTTAAATAAACTAAATATTATAATTTTTTATATAATAGTCTATTTAATCACAAAAACTAAATATAATGACAGATATATTAAAATGAATTACAAAAAATATTTGAGATTAAAAAATAAGAAAACATTATTTGATAAATGTTTTAAATCTAAATTTTTATTTATATAGCAATCAAAACTGTTATATTACATATGTGTTGTATCAAATTTTCTTGATTCATAAGTATGAAAATATAATTATAATATAAGTATTTTCTTGATTGTGCGAGCTAATTCTAATTTATTTTGTGTTGAATAAAATTGAGCAGAAAAATATAGCTAATGCAAATTTATATTATTTCAGTTTTTATATTAAAGTGTGAGTTAAGAATTATTTGAATAAGAAAGAGGTAATAATATATTATTTTGGAAATTGTGTTACAATAAAATATTTAATTAGATATTTCATAATCAAAAAAGAAAATGCATATATAAAAATGGATCTTTATAACTTAATTCTCTTGTTGTACGATGATTGGAACTAATATAAGATACTATGTTAGATTTGTATCATACTTTCTAAAGATATTTATATCAAATTCTTAAAATGATTATTTCATTGATTTTTATGTCACATAAGAACATAAAAAATAGAAATAAATATTAAAGATACATGAATATAATGGAAGAGAGGGAGTGAATATACTTATATGTTGATAATCAAAAATAGAAAATGTAGATGAATTTTCAAAGGAAAAAAAAGATAAATTATAATAACATAAGATGTATATCAATATATCATATAGACTCTAAAAGTTTCTACAATTGAAATTTTATCCCATAATATTTTTTTTTTCAAAACTCATACAACAAAAATAAAGAAAGCAAAAAATTTCATAAAGAAGAGAATGAGAGAATGATATAATGAGAGAATGAGAGAATGATATAATGAGAAAATGAGTATATATAGGAAGAGAAGTGATGAGAGTTACAATTTCATAAAACAATCATGGGAGTCAATTATAATTGATTGTGTATTGAAAAAATTGAATGGAAAATATAGTTAATGCAAATTTATGTTATTTCAGTTTTTATATTAAAGTGTGAGTTTAATGTATATGATTAAATGTGTTTTGTGGTTTCTTTGTTTTTTTCAGTTGTATATTAAAGTGTGAATCAAATATATAATATGTTTTAAAGTTACATGCCAAGTGGACCAATAAGAAAATGGTAAAATCTTATATATATATATATATATATATATATA